CTTCAAAGCATTTTTGTGTGTGCTGAGTAGAAGAAATTGTGAGAACTGCAGACTATGGTCATATATATATATATGACATTACCTCAGAAATACATCTGTGATGATAAAGTGCATACTGTCATGCTGCTTTATGCTCTCACCCCAAGAACAGAACAAAAAGAAGGAATTGCCTTTGTAATTCTATAGACTAATAATTTCAGTGTTATTACTTTCCATAGGCGCTGTTTGATTTTTCTGGAACCAATAAACTGGAACTCAGCTTCAAGAAGGGAGACTTGATCTATCTACTCAGCAGAGTAAACAAAGACTGGTTGGAGGTAAGACTGCAATAGCAATAAAAAATTATTAGCATACCTTGAAATATATGAGTAGAAAGGGCTCTCCTAGTCCTTGAGACCTGCCTCCTCCTTTCAGGGAGAAACTGTATTAGAATCAGATCTTTCTGTCAAGAACAAATCCTTGACTCCAAATTTGAAATTTTTTGTACCTTGATGGCTTTTAGTTTACAAATTTTTTGCCTGCTAGGCTTCAGTTTTCATTTCCATTTGCTTCTGCTGGAATGTTTTTTAAATTCTTTGGAAGTGATTAGAACACAAAAAGGACACAGAAAGGAGATGGAAACTCCATTTCAGCGATTAATTGTTTTCTTGCCTCAGGGTGAGTTGCTATATACTTCATGCTTCGTACCACAACACACGTCAGCTTGATTAGAGAGAATTTGAGCAATGCAGCAGTGTTCTGAAAAAGGATGAGAAGAACATACTGTGTGTTTGCTGATATGATATCTCTGCTTGCTCAAACACCACAGCCTTCCTTGGTAACCATCTGACTTCCATTTTTTACACACTATTTCACTCCCCCGCCTTGTATTTGACTACGCAATTGTGTAATCTTTTTGTGGGATGCCATCAGGTCACTTCCATAGCCTTTCTTTTCTTGATTATAGTAGAAAAATTCTTACTGTTGTTTCCATGGAAATTGCTCGGATTCCAGAACTTGTTGTATGCAGCCAAAATAGCATAGTTTTCTTCATTTTAACATTTCCTACAATTCCAGGGAACAGCTGATGGTGTCACTGGGATTTTCCCATGTGCTTTTGTGAAGATCATAAAAGATTTACCACAGCAGGAAGACACAGTTAATAAAGTTCGCTGTTATTACCATGATGAGACTGTGAGCACTATCAGGTAATAAGAAAATAGTCTTCCAGTTTACTGCTGAAGAAATGCTGAAAATTCTCTTTTCATGATATGTGATGATTAGATTTGTTCTTGGTACAGGGATATCTCAGTGGAAGAAGATCTGAGCACCATTCCATCTTTCAAAGATCTCATGGAATTGATAAGGTACAATGCAAGCAATTGCTTGTATGTTTAGTATCATTTGAACACTTGTCAAGTTCCTTCCAGTTCTAGATTTCCCACATTCTACTTGATCATCACCATGTTTCAAGTGTTCTGAAGAAGCTGTGCCTTGACTTGGCCCAGGGCCAGCTGTGCTAACCCTGAACTGCCTTGGGCTGCCACACAATTCTGACTCAGTTATGCTGGGTAGAAGTTTCCGTTTATTGGTCTAAGATCAGAGCCATGCTCCTACTCATGGATCCATTGTGTAATATACTTCTTCCAGATGCAGGACACTGCCTTCTAAGACCCATTAAACTAGTGTTAAACTAGATTAATCTACTGATGAACGTCAAAACATTAGAACATCAAAGATTAGTAATAGAATACCTGTGCTAGTATTCCGTAATCTGCCCTCCCCTCCAAAAATACAACCCTAAATAGACAAATGTGGTTAGTAACTATATTTAACTCTTATGCACAGAAATTTTATCAAACTTGCAGATTGACTGTGCCATGCATGTGGTGTTACTGGAAAAGGTTCTTGATTCTGACAGATTTCTTATCTTAAAAACTACACAGCATAGACATGGCTCTGATTTCTAATATGAGCTGTACTAAGAATGCCAAGATACCCAAGGCTTTGTGTGGCTTTTAGCAGAACGAATTAGATTGTTGGTATATTGTTCATCATGCAGCACCTCCCATGCATTCCTTGATTTCTGGGAATCAATCTGTTTCTTTTCTACTAGGCGGGAGTTTGACCAAGATGACATTGTTTTGAATTACCGAGACCTTGATGGTGATCTGATCCGGCTGCTCTCTGATGAGGATGTTGAACTCATGGTGTCTCAGAGCAGAAGAAGGCCCTCTGAGAAGCATTTCTTCCCTTGGAAGTTGCACATCACTCACAAAGATGACTTGGGTGTCTACAACACTAGTCCAGAAATAGGTGCCACTCAAACAATAAGAGCAACATAAGTTCTGTGTAACAATGTTCCTGTAGACTGATATACAATCCTTCCGTAACTCCTTTCTGAAGACAATTCCCTTTAATAAGCCTTTGAAGTCATCTTGAAAAGAGTAATTTTTATTAATATATTACCTTTCAATGTAAAATCCATACTTACCTTCTTCAGCTTTTCAGCGCTGTGTAATAGAGACATCTACATAGAGACCAGAGAAAGTGAAGAACAGAGAAATAAAATCATTGGCCATATTCACAAAGTAAGTCAGTGTTAGCCTACATTACAGATTTAGTGTCCTGAGCCCCAAGGCCTACTCTAATCTCTGTTCTCACTCCAAGAGCTTATTATTTGTCCAGAATGACTTCATAAGCTTATTTTCCTAGATTGCCATAATTTTCTCTTCACTTACGAAGGTTTATGTGCCAATGCTTATAAATGCATAATTATTTCTGCCACATGGGAGTGTGACTGGGCATTCAGAGTTTGTTCTGGAAATCAAGAGAGACAGGGATCTACTGGAGAGAGTCCAACAGAGAGCTATGAGGATGATCAAGGAACTTGAACATCTCTCCTGTGAAGAGAGACTGAGAGAACTGGGGCTGTTTAGCCTTGAAAGGAGACAGCTGAGAGGGGATCCTATTCAAGTATATAAATATCTGAGGGATGGGTGTCAGGAGGAAGAAGACAATCTCTTCTCAGTGGTGCCCAGTAATAGAAGAAGAGTTAATGGGTTTAAGTTAGAACATAGGAAGTTGCACCTCAACATGAGGAGAAACTTCTTTACTGTGAGGGTGACGGAGCACTGGCACAGGCTGCCCAGAGAGGTTGTGGAGTCTCCTTCTCTGGAGACTTTCAAAACCCACCTGGACACGTTCCTGTGTGGCTGCCCTAGGGGTCCTGCTCTGGCAGGGGGGTTGGACTTGATGATCTCTAGAGGTCCCTTCCAGCCCTGAACATTCTATGATTCTATGATATCAAAAAACCTGTTTTGTATTTCAGTGAAGAAATTTCAGCCCAACTTTGCTTTCTTCTTTCCATTGACCAATATTTTGAATTCTGTGAATCAAATCTGGTAAACATATGGAGTTTCTCATAGAGGTTGTTGTTATTGTACAGACCACTTATTTCCATGTTCTGGAAAAATTTGTGTGATGCTTATTCAAATAGCACTTTTTTCTCTGTCTATCTTCTGCTTTCTGATACCTTATTGCAAAGTGGAACTAACAAGAAATTACTGCATCATATTCTTCAACAAATAAAGTTAAATGAGTCTTGTGTTTCTATTCTAAAGGGTTTTGGAGGGGATGAAATAATTCTGCTACATTTTTTTTTGCTTGAAAGTGAGATAATTTTGAGGAAACATTTGAATGTTACCTATTCAGCTTTCCTCAAGGAGGACTTCATTATTTTTAAAAAATATATCTTGCAATAATTTCTTAGGTGGTCATGAAATCAAAATATTTTACCGAACAATGCTGCTTCTAGGAATTACATGTATGGTTTACATAAATTGTTTGATACCTAAAATACTGTCTTTTGAAAACATAATGCAGTCATATTTTTAAAAAGTTAGCACCAAGTATAAATATATATATTAAAAAAAAAAAGCTAAAAGATCTTTCAAACACCATGCTTTGGATTTGATTGTTAGTTTTTGTGGCATTAAGCTACACTTCCTGATTTTGAAAAATCTTTGTCCTTGACCTGCTGCTAAAATTTGTACAAAGTGATCCTGCTCTAGCAAGGAGGTTGGGCTAGATGATCTTCAGAGGTCCCTTCTAACTGCTACTATTAGTAATTGTGTGATTCTGTGAAAAGGAAAGATTAACAGGTATCTGAAGGCAATAAGAAACAATTGACTACCCATGCATGAATAACTAACTTGTTCCTGCCCAAACTGGCAAAAGAATAATTTCTCTTTTTCTTAGGTGTTACCTGTAATGCTATAGGGTAATAAGATCTTCAACAAAAGTATTTAAGATGAATTATCCTTTAAACAAATTTTCTTCTTTCTTCCTTATATATATAACAACTTATTTATACACATAAGCTTGAATGTTCTCTTATCTGTAGCCGTAGATTTACACATTTAAATGTATTGGAATTAAAGGAAAGAGTTTATATTTCAGGATGTCCTGGTTTGAGCTAAAAAACCCAATTCTGTTTAGTGATTTTTACTTTCCAGCTCAGTCTCTTCTAAAAGGCTGCACTTTCTGAAGTTAGCAGCATGTTTTTGCAGACAGTGTCTGCTAGTAGCAGTGATAACACCTGATGTTTACAGTTACTGCCTGGGACTGGGATGCAGAAAGGCTCTTGCTGATACTTATTCCCATAGTGACCAAGGCCACTGCTGGCTCTTGTGTGCCACTCTGGGGGTGCCGGGGAGTAAGAGGGGTCACAAGAAGTAAAAGGTTGCACCTCCGGGGGGTAATAGACAGGACAGGTGACCAACGAGAGTATTCCATCCCATATACATCATAGTTAGTATAAATTGAGTGATCACAACAGTTTCTTTCCCTTTCTGCAATGGCCGGTGTTCAGGGA